ATATATACTTTGCATTAATATGTCGTTTTCTAATATAAAGGTAACAATTATTTTCGTGATAATTATATCTAGGTTTTTATTAGCGCTAGGAATATGTGTGCTAACTTCATTTCGTATCCAGGTGACCTTATGGCTTTATCGCGTAAATCATTAATTTCCGTCATAGTCCGGACTTTTTTCCGTATGCATATGACGTTCGTCGTAGATCCCATATAAGGTATATGTTCTACTATGCAAGGTTCTATTATGCATTTGTCTATTATGCAAAATGCAGAATGCAGAAGTGTAATGTGCAAAATAACTATTCTACTGTAGTTTGTATTATTGAAAAGTGTATTCTGTATGTTAACACCGTGGAATTGGTTTTGTTGAGCAATGGGAATTGTAAATTGTAAAACTAAAATACGTATTTTGAACTACTGACATTTGCAGTTTGCACCGTGAACAATGAAATAATATTGGCAACTTTTTACTTCCATAAACAAAAAGTACGGTGGTTGAAATTATTGCACATGTCTTGTCAAACCTTTAAAGGCTAATATCTTCGCTCGCAATAGAGTAATTTGAATAAAATTTTCAAATTATTCATTTTTTATTATCTATTTTCGAACTATTGTAGCAAGAATGGCTAGCCCCTATCTAAATCTTACATAATGTATCTTTAACAACACTGATCGTATCAAACAAAGAAATAACTATTATCTGACAAATTGACCAGTTTAGGAAATTTAGTCGCCATTTTGAATTTCCGCCATCTTGGATCTGGGACACTCATATTAGAGATTATTTTTTTATGATCAATTTTTCTAATATCTATTAAATCACTTTATAATTGACCAAATAGATAATTTGGCTTATGTGTGTTTCAACACGATTTGTTAGTTAACTTATATACAGACATGAAAACGATCGAAAATGCTGGGTTTTTTTTTAGATTAATCTTTTATTTTAAAACTGATAGTTTTGATTAAACAATCATATACCAGCAGATGCTGAATTATATTATGAACATTTTGAGCTATATCACATATCCATAGATGAAACTGTTGAGGAGTTATGAAGGCTTCTCCGACTCGCACTATTTCAAATGAAATAAAAAACGGCGGCCTTTCTTAAAGATGGCCGACAAACTGACATTTGGCAAAGTGACCCAGAAGTCCACCAACCAATTTTGGACACTTAAGACCTAAGGCTAACTTAAAACCATTCTTAAACCAATTCATCAAGTTGGTAATGCCGCTGTCCTGGCAAAATTTCCATAATAATACACTGTATGGCGTATGCCGGTCTTCATTAGGCCAGTTCGGAGCAGAACCGCAGGACGTTAAACCCCATTTCATTTCATTTCGTATTTACACAGTTATGTTAAACTGAAATTTCATCGATCTATGCTGCTCGGGCGTACCACGACGCCATCATCCGTCATCGGTAGCGGAGTAACATTCGATTGAATCCGAGCAAGGAGATTCTCTAGCGTTTTTATTTTGATCTTGATTTTGTTTTCTTAATTAAATATTAAATTATCAACCTGGTTGCATATTTAGCGTGTATTAGGCTGTGAGAAATTTGACACTTTAGCGAAATTACAAATGGATGATCGGGACATGATTTCATTTATCCAGATTAAATCGGCCAAATCACAATCGGTTTAATACAATTGTATCGATGTACAAAGAAGAAATATTTTCAAGAACAAATAAACACTTCGGTAAAAATTTAGTACTAATAGTTTGTACTATACAATTGATGGGAGAGAGAGAAAGAGAGAGAGAGGGGGGGGGGGGTAACGTTAACTCGACACAATCTTGGTAAGTTGGCGACTAACATATGGTTCAATTTTATTTCAATAGGGGTCTTTAGCAGTGAGAGGAAACCGGAGGACCGGAGAAAACCCACGAGGTTGGACAGGCGACCCTATTTCTTGTCACTTTGAACCAGGGAACCGAAACCACGCCAGTTGACTCAATGAAAGATCTTATGAGGCAGCGCGCACACTCTAACCAATCGACCTCGCCCCTAATACTCCAAATTTAAAAAACACAAATTAGAATTCAGTATTGGTCCATTTCAATCAATATTGATATTGTTATCTTGCCATGAACCTGGGATTCTAATATCCAATATTTAAGACACATTGCCATTTTATAAGCAGTACACGAGTTCGAGTGCCATTTATAATGAATAAAAGAATATATATATTTTACAAGGCATGGCAAATTTAACTAATAATGGCTGATTCACAATCGATAATATAATAATTATATAAACAAGGTGTATAATGGAGGGAGCAGGAGGGGTAAACGGGTGTCGTTCAATTTGAACTGTTCGCGTATTTCACGGAGGGAGCCACGGTGGCTAGGTGGTTAAGACGCTGGCTCGCTAGCCTGGAGGTCGGGTGTTCGATCCCTGCATTGGCCGAGATTTTCCGACGTGGTTTCCCCTTGTCAGTGGTGCAGAACGGAGGGCCTGACAAGGACAGCTGTCTAGTCCTTCGAATGAGACGGAAAACCGAGGTCCCGTGTATACATTGGAATGCACGTAAAAGATCCCTTGACAGTTGGAATTCGATATAAGAGTAGGCGATAGTGCCGCTGCCCGGGCAAAATGTCCCTCATAGCACACTGTATGGCGTATGCCTGCCTTCATTAGCCCGGTTAGGAGCATTTCACGGAACATAATTGATTACAGTATTTTTTTGAATATAAATTACTTTATATACATTCAAATTAAATATGAGTTTTTAGACCAGTGTTCGTCTATTTTAAGGTTAAAGTGATCTTTAGGTGCAATATCAGACACAATAAAGCTATAGACTGTCTCTAAAATATGACAAAAACCTAAGCACATTAAATTTCTTTGTGAATGAAACAAGGCCTCCTTAAACTCGATCTTTACTTGGCTGGCTTTCGGTTAATGGTCTCAAATTGAATATAAGATAACAATCTTCGCGGCTTCAGCCCTGCATGAACAACAATAGAATATAAAAACCTCAATTCAAGCTGATATCACCATTGCTATAGAGAGTTGTTTAACTTGGCGAATTGAACACAATAACACAGACAATTACAAAAAAAGAACAGGTAAAGTAGTTATCTATCTTTTTATGTATCTGGGCCGTTGCTTAAAACTAAGTTATTTTAACGATCTGTTTAACAGGTCGTTATCTTTTGTTAACGGTCCGTTAAATTTCTGTTGCTGGAAAGTCAATTTCATTACCCGTTAGCTAACGGACTGATTAAAGTTAATCCAAGAACAGACTGTTTATTGGCTGAATTTTAAATTTTTAAATTCAATGTATATGTATAACAACTTCATAGAAGTTACATGTAGTATTAACAAAAAACTCAAGACAGTGGGACAACTCTGCAATCTGTTCACAAAACTTGAATAAAGACATAAACATAACTGTAGAATTTATACAGAAAACACTATAAAAACAATAGAATACTTTATATTTCCTTTAGAAATTTTAGCATAAATCTGTAGGAAAAATAATGTAATTTACACTACAGAAACTGTAGAATATTGGGGGCCATTATTTCCTACAGGCCCACAAAATTATGTAAAATACTATAGAATTTCATTCAATAGAAAATGGAATAGCCCCCCACCTCCAATCCTTTAGAATGTTTTATAACCTTTTGCCAAGGGTATACCTCGAATGACAGCCTCCGTTAAATATAACGGCATGTTAAAGTTAACGGGGCTTTAAGCAACCGACCCCGTATGATTAGTTGTTGTTAGTATTTATAGCTTGGTTTGTTAGCCGACGCTATACGGATGGAAATTAGCTATTTCTCTAAAAGAACAACCTATATTAAAGATACATTATGGGAGATTCGATAACGAGTTGGCAGTTCTCAGTGTAATAGTTAAAAACTAAATACAGTGAAGGCAATTTGCTGAAAATTTCATTCAAATTGATCCACTATGAACCGAGAACTAAGCGTTTGAAATTCCTGCCTTGCCTCTATCTTCAGTAATAAAGTCAGTACGATAAACAGCATAGTCTCGATTATCCATTTAATCGTTAAATCGTGAAGGAAAGTTATGCAGTATATCGACTCATAATCCACTTAAGATCGCAGGCTAGCGATGCCATCTAGAGTTGATTATGGTCTGGATAGGTTAATTAGTGTCTAATTAATAATTTAGACAACATTTCAGGCCTAAAGAAAGACCTGCAATAGACAGATTTAGCTCTTGCATAATGTATGTTTAATTATCAATTCCGTGTAAATACTGCAGGTAAGCGGCGTCAACTTCCAACTGTCTGCGTTCTATTATGCGCATGCCAGTCGATACACGTGTGGGCCGAGGATTTTTTACCCCGGACATCTGCGTTTCCGCCTACACTTCATGAATTTCCAACTGCCAAGGGTTCTTTTGCGTTTATTTCAAATACGACACCACAGAGATGTGACTGCCAGTTTATTAGTCGACAAATATTTAACGTGTGTCTGGGGCTGCAAACGTCTTCCATAATGGCGGATAATGAATAATGAATTGATATCCAATTGTTTATTTTGTATTAAGGACATGGGGGGTGCTCGGCGAAAAGGTAACTGACCTGGCCAACTAAGCATGAGGTCTCACTGGCCCACCTGAAAGGGAATCCAAGGTTTGATGTTGGCGGAGCAAGTTCAAAGGGTTTTTTCCTCCTGCCCACACACCCACACACCCGTCAGTGTCAGTGGTTCGGACGAAAATGCGCTCTAACAGGGCTCAAGACTAAGCCCTGTGCATGCATTGCCGTACAAGTCAAAGAACCATTGACAGATGTAATTCGAAAAGAGCAAGTTGAAACGCCGCTGTTCGGGCAAAATTCTCCTCAGAACATCGGTTAGTGTAGATAGCCAAGTCGATTGGTGGTATTTGGTATGATTCTTTAAACTGATACCGCTATTTGAAAAACTACCTGGAAACCAAGACACTGCAAAAAAAAAACCCTTAAAACACGCACACAATGCAATAAAAGAATAATATAGTGTAAATGTTACCTTTTCATATCCACCTGTTCGACTCCATGTTGTATAGTAGTCGATGCTTTCTGATAATGATGTTCCCTTTTTAAAAGCTCGGAGATTATTTTCATATACCTTGGCAATCTCATTTTGGTCCATTCCCAGAGGCGTCCCGTCAAAATTGAGCTGTGTCTCCTGCATTTGTACACTATTTTTTTCTGCCTCCATAATTGATATATATATATATATATATATATATATGCCTGTGTTTCCTGCCAATGAACGAAACATAAAATACGTTTAGTTTTATGGCGATGATGGGTGGGGCGAGGGGAAGGCGGCGAGGGGGTGGGGCGTCCTGCGTAACTCACGTTTCGTTTTACTTTTTTTCTTTTTAAAGATTTTACATATACCCACTCTCCATTGTCGTTTATTTCTTGTAATGTCGGGGGGGAGGGGGTGGATGCACGTGCGTGCTGTATCATAAGGTCTGTCAATGAGTCAACTGGCGTGGTTTCGAATTCCTGGCTGTACGTGACAAGGAGTAGGGTCGCCTGTTCAACCTCGTGGGTTTTCACCGGGTTCTCCGGTTTCCTCCCACTGCTAAAGACCTCCCCCCTCTCTCTCTCTCTCTCTCCTCTCTCTCTCTCTCTCTCTCTCTCTCTGCAATGTCTGTGTAGTTTGTCCTGACCGCTGGCTTGTCTTATCAGTTTTGTTTTCCGTGTAGAGTGATTTATTTTACACAATTTGACTATGTTAGCAGTTTTAACTGCCCATTATCTTATCCAATACGAAAGGAAAACAACAATATAATAAGTTCAAAGTACTTTATCATGCATATCAAATTACAATGCAGACAAAGGAAAACAAAATACAATACAGTCAATGACCACCTAAAGTCTAGTACACACAAGCGGTTTTAATTGCCCCCGCCCACAAATTGCTAGAAACAAATCGCTTACGTCCGCTGTAATGGCTATCGTTTTTTGTCGACGACGATGCGTTGTTTTGTTAGACTTATCAACATCCGCTAACTAGATTTTAATTACTTTGCTTTACTAGTTTACTTTGCTTTAGTAGGGGGATCACGTGGCTAAGTGGGTAAGAAAAATGAAATGAACTTTCTCGGCCAATGCAGGGATCGAACACCCGACCTCCAGGCTAACGAGCCAGCGTCTTACCCACTTGGGAGCCACGGTGGCTAGGTGGGTAAGGCGCTGGCTCGCCTGACAAGGACAGCTGTCTAGTCCTTCGGATGATACGAAAAACCGAGGTCCCGTGTATACATTGGAATGCACGTACAGGATGCCTTGGCAGTTGGAATTCGATATAAGAGTAGGCGATAGTGCCGCTGCCCGGGCAAAATGTCCCTCATAGCACACTGTATGGCGTATGCCCGTCTTCATTATCCCAGTATAGGAGCAGAACAGTAGGACGTTAAACCCCATTTCATTTCATTTCATTGCTTTAGTACTTTACTTTACACTTTGCTTTGCGCTGTTTTACTTTAATTTTCTTATTATATAATATAATAAAATACAATAAATAAATATAATATACAAATCATACGACTTATCAGATACAAAATAAACATATATAATAAATAACATATATAACAAAATATAATAAATAAATATAATATACAAATCGTACGACTTATGAGATACAAAATAAACATATATCATAATAAATTATAATAAATAAATCAAATATACAAATCGTACGACTTATCAGATACAAAATAAATATATATTATAACAAAATATAATAAATAAATATAATATACAAATCGTACGACTTATCAGATACAAAATAAATATATATTATAACAAAATATAATAAATAAATCAAATATACAAATCGTACGACTTATCAGATACAAAATAAATATATATTATAATAAATTATAATTTAAAAAAATATAATAAAATATAATAAAAAAAATATATAATAAAATATAATACATAAATCGTACGTCTTATCAGATTCAAAATAAATATATAGTATAATAAAATATAATAAATAAATATAATATACAAATGTAAAGAGTATTTTTGTAATATTGTTATTGAGAAAGGCCTAAAATGCATATTTCGTTTGAAAAATTTAATATTATATTAATGACTGTACATAAGCTTATTCAAAAATGCAGTTCTATCATATAAAAAGTAAATAAACATATACAAATTATATATTATAATTTTATTTTGAAAGAGAGACGGTTTTTTGGCGGTAAGTGAGAGTTATAAGCCAAAATTATTCAGTTCTTTGATACTTTTTATAGATAATAATTGACAAAATAAACTAATGCAATTTTGACTAGTCACAATTTGCTGCACTACTGATGTCGAGTGGATGTTACTCTCACCCCTCTCTCTCTCTCTCTCTCTCTCTCTCTCTCTTTGTAATAATATTACCTATTTATATGCAAACTATAAAGATATGTGTTGAGAATTATGCGTTCGAAGTTAGTTGCACTTGCACAAACGACGCCGCTACAATATTTCAGCATTTATCGGATTAGAGCTTCTAGGATTGGAAGAATAATCGACTTTAATACAAATAGGCTGGTTGGAGAAGGTGACAAATCCAGCTTTGTGGGAAGAAATTCCTACCCAAATGATTTCTTCACTTTCTGAAACAACTCTGTCCCTAGTGTTCCAGAAAAATTTTCCCCGCGGATCGGAGTTGAGCAAAAATTTTTACAGCACTTTGAACTTTTCACCCCCTGGGTCAACATAATGAAAATGAAAACCATTTATAACTTCAAAAATATCAATTTTACAGCCTAGAAATATATTATCAACATATAGGAAAGTGATACCAAGGAATCCAGAAATGACGTCAAAAGTAACGTACGACCAAAGCCGTATATAGATAAAGTTGCGACAACTGTGAAGCCAGAAATTTCATATGACGTCAAGAAAATATGACCTCAAGTGTAGTAAGACGCCATCTTGGGTCCCAAGTATTTGTACCTACTCACTATCTATTTTATGTCCTATCATATTGTTGTGTCGAAGTTGGCTGCCCCCGACAAGGATGTATTTAGATATGTCATAGAATACATTTTTTAAACGAAAAGTATAGCTGAACAAACTATTATTATTATTATTATTATGCAGAAAGCGCACGTTATTGTTATAAGAATAGTCTAATTCGTAAGAAAGTGAAATAAAAGATACACCAAATAAAAGCGCTATTAAATTGCATACGCTTTTAAAAATCAGATTTTTTGTGCAGACGGGTAAAGTGAAAAATGAAAATGTAAATAGTAATTTGGGAGATACAACCTTTTTGCCTTTTAGCCGGCAAAATAAATGCCTGAAATTCCATGATTTTTGGTCTGGAGTCATTCCGGATTGTGTGTCAGTTTTCTGTCATCGATCATTAATTGTATCATCAATTTTTCGAAAATAGAAATTTCTTTAAATTGACTAATGGATAAATAATTTAAAATCGGTGTAAAATCGGTAAAATTTAAATAAAGCGTGACATGTGTCTCGGGCATATATTTCATCAGTGACATTACTGATATACGAGATATCGCTCTCTGAAACTTTCTGGTTTCTTTTGCAATTTGTTTGGGGTAAGACGTTATCACTCCCCGCCCATGGGTAAATAATAATATTAATCTAATATATAAACCGCACAAATTTAACAGATACAAATAATGTACATGTTATTCCACAGGTAGACAGACATTGAAGGGGCCCAGTGAAGGAGACGCAGTTGGTTTAGAGTTTATCCGACTCTTTTGGCTATTTGCGCCCCATTTCCAATGAAAAAATCATGTTGTTCTGATGCTCAACTAGTATCAAATATATATCGTGTCTGAGATTTGTTACAAATCGCCCCGAACATGTTCCACACATCTCAATATTTATCAGCTTTTTGTTCAATCTATAAAAGCCTCTATACATTCCTACAAAATTTTTTGTTTAGTTGTTTAGTCAAGTGAAACAAGAAAATGCATAGGCTAAATGGTACACCTTTATAATGTCGACAAATACGTAAAACTATGAAATAAGATACTTCTATGATATGATCTTTAAGAGGCATTTAGTAACTGGGTAGAGCAATACACAAAAACACATACTTATGGAAAAACAGCTACTTATTTATTTGGGCGACGTTTCGAAGAGTATTCTCTCAACGTTATCAAGCTAATACAGTAATACAAGAATAATGAGATCAACATATTTTCCCTCTAACCTGTTGACTGTATTGATAGAGGTTACTGCCACATCTCCATATTGATGGCGATAATAATCTTGATAACGTTGAGAGAATACTCTTCGAAACGTCGCCCAAATAAATAAGTAGCTGTTTTTCCATAAGTATGTGTTTTTGCGTATTCTATGATATGATTCAACGGAAAGGTCCTATATATGCAACATAGATATAATATCTACATTAAAGTTAAACGAACTGCATGTAATCATTTTAAATATTGCGTCGAGCTGAATAAAGTATATGATTTATTATCATTAAAGGATCTATGGGCGGTTGGTTAACAATGTGTAACTAAAAACTATGATATTATCTTTACTGCCAACATTTCAATGTACCTAAAATTTATTTATTTAAGAGCAACTATGTCATTTCGGGATTAATATACCACATAAAGTCATACCCAGCGGAAAGAAATGACGATTAATTAAAATTCCACCAATTTGGATTTCATTTTGCCAGCCATTGTGAATTTCTACCATCAAGATTTCTTTACTGCCAACATTTCAATGTACCTAAAATATATCTATTTAAGAGCAACTATGTCATTTCGGGATTAATATACCACATAAAGTCATACCCAGCGGAAAGAAATGACGATTAATTAAAATTCCACCAATTCGGATTTCATTTTGCCAGCCATTGTGAATTTCTACCATCAAGATTTCTCGAAATTAAATTTTTGAGATTATATCTGCCCTTTTATTACCAAATTAATGTTGTTTTTTTTTCATTTTTATTTTTATTTTTTAAAGTGATATTCTTTTACCAAATTTGGCAGTCATATTGAAAGAAATGCCCGCCACCAAATGACAAATACATTTTTTTATTGATGTTTGTCAAATTCGATTTTTCCACACATTTCGCTTGCATAACCACTCTGTGTTTGAAGAATTTAAAAAGAAATTATTTACACCCCCCCCCCACCACTAAAATACATGTAACCAAGTCCGA